TTCTAACCTGAGTCACCTGAACATCCGTGGAACCAATGCAGTTCTGGGGAGGTACTGTATTAGACGGGTTAGTTTGGTGACACTAAATGATTAATGATATAATAATAATATTTACATTGATACAGCATCTTATGTCATCAAGGCATCTCAAAGCACTTCATGAGATTTACTGTAAAGTGTAGTGACTGTGTATTTATAATAATAATCCTTGCATTTAATATAGTGACTCATCACATCTTCGAGAAGTCTCAAAGCGCTTCACAGAATATACTGTAAAGTATATTAACTGTATATTTTGTGGGCAAAACGCAGCAGCCAATTGCGCACAACAGTGTCCCACAAACAATCGTGGATTGAAGTGATTTATTTTTTATTATTAATTTTTGAAAGAATTATAACCCCCGGAAAAGCGATTTGCCAATATGACTAACAACTGGGTTTCTACTTACTGCTATGTAAACAGAGGTGTGGAGTAAGGAAATGTGCCCGACAATTCGCCCTGTGGGTAATCGAACCCAGGTCTCTCGCTTGTGTGGCAAGTGCTCTAATCACTGAGCTTCAGGACTCCAATGGGTGAATGACACAGACAATTTGCGCCCAGCAATGTTCTGCAAACAGCCATGGCCGTCCTTCAGATGAGTTCAATTGTAAAATTCAAAGTTACAACTGTAAAAGTCAAAGTACTGTCTGCCTGTTGCTGTGGACATTACAACACAACAACTTGCACTTATATAGCGCCCTCCACGCAGGGTAGCGTCCCAGAGCGCTTATCAGTGGTGGAGCCTGATTCCGAGTTGGGGGAGCGGGGAAGGTGGCCGTAAACACGGTTGAAGAGGAAAGTTTTCAGGCAAGACTTGAAAGAGGGCAGAGAGGGCAAAGTGGAGGATTGAGGGAGAGTGTTCAAGAGTTTTGGGTCGCAGTGGCTGACATCGCAACTTCCGATGGCAGGGCGGAGGATGCGAGGGACGAGCAGGAAGCTGGTGCCAGTCAGCGGAGGAGCTGGGTGGTGGATTGGGGAGTGAGGAGGTCGGAGAGGTAGGGAGATGCCAGGGAATGAATGGATTTGAACCCAAAGTGAATGGATTTGAACACGAACAATAACAACTTGCATTTATATAGTGCCCTTAACTTAGTGTAGTGTCTCGGAGCGCTGTACACTAAAGGCATTAATGATCACAAGGCACTATTCGAAAAAGAGTTTTTCCCAGTGTACTGGTTAACAATCAATCATTCACTTCATAGTTCTGTGTAGGTCATTGCTGTACGGAAATTGGCTGTGGTGTTCACCCACAAATGCACAGTCACTACACTTTAAAGTAAATCCCATGAAGCACTTTGAGACACCATGTAAAGTGCTGTATCAAATGTAAATATTATTTTATTACATCATTAATTCATAGTGTCACCAACCTGACCAGCTCAGTGAATTACAGCCCCTCACTATAACACAGGGTCAGCAATATAACAACGTGCATTGTTTATAGCTCCCCGTCTCCGAAAGAAAACCTTCGCCATTGCTCCCAAATGCAGCCTCAGTATTTAGCCCTTGATTCTGTAAAATATAATAACAATCATCCTTGCATTTGATATAGTGCCTTATCACGTTGTGGGACACTGCTGTGCGTAATTGGCTGCCGCGTTTCGCCCTCAAAAATGATACAGTCAATTCATGTTACAGTATATTCTGTGAAGCGCTTTGAGATGGCTCGAAGACGTGATAAAGTATCAAATACAAAGATTATTATTATTATCCACCAGATGGACTGTGAGTGAGAGGAATAAGAGGCTGGGAGGGGAGCAGGCACACACTTACTGCAAAGTGATAGCAGTTGGTGGGAACAGGAGAGGATGAGGGAGGGGTGGGGTGGGGGGGGGGGAGAGAGCCACACAATAATGTTTCTAAAGAGGAACAACAACAGATAAGGTTAAGTTCATATTAATTGCAACAACCACAGAGCAACTGTTATTAGTTGGAGAGTTCAGTGTAAAGATAACATAATGAGTCCATCATGGGGTGGGGTGGGGTGGGGGTGGGGGGGGAAGAAGTTGAATTGTGATTGCAATTAAAAACAATCCACCAGTTGTGATATAATGTGGGGGGGGGGGGGGGGGTATGTGTCTAGTTATTGTTCTCAGTGTCAGGGAGATGATTTGGAAGGTGGGTGAGACAAGGGAGGGGGGGGTGAGACGGGGGGGGGGGGGGTGAGACAGGGGGGGGTGAGACAGGGGGGGGTGAGACAGGGGAGGGGGGGGTGAGACAGGGGAGGGGGGTGAGACGGGGGTACACACACACACACACACACACCCCAACGTGGGGGCACTTCCACCTGATGCGATCCGACCCCCACACAAGGGATCCATCCCCTCCCCTCCCCCCCCCAAAAAAAAATCCATATGCAAACATTACAAAACACTTTTGGGGGTTTGTTTGTTTGTTTGTTTGTTTGTGGAGGGGGTGTGGGGAGGGGGTGTGGGGAGGGGTGTGGGGAGGGGGTGTGGGGAGGGGTGTGGGGGAGGGGGTGTGGGGAGGGGGGGGGTGGGGTGGGGGAGGGGTGTGGGGTGGGAGGGGGTGTGAGGGGGTCCACACAAAAAAAAAGCATAGAAACAAATGCATCGAAAAGACAAGTGTTGTACATACTACTAAAGTTATTCTGGTGTATAAGCCACAGACCCCCCACTGGTATGAGACGACTCCCCAAAATATTCCACCACTTTCCCTCCCCTCTCTCTCCCTCCCTCCTTCCTTCTCTCTCCCTCCCTCTCCCTCACTCTCTCTCTCTCCCTCACTCCCTCCTTCCCCCTCTCCCTCACTCTCTCTCCCTCCTTCCCCCTCTCCCTCACTCTCTCTCTCTCCCTCACTCTTTCCCCCTCTCCTCACTCTCTCTCTCTCTCCCTCCTTCCCCCCTCTCTCTCCCTCTCTCTCTCTCTCCACCAGTCCCTTCCAACAACCAGTGAATTCACCGACACTCCTCTTAAAATAAAGGGCGCAATTTTTTTTTACACACACACACACACACATCGCACACTTTATCTGCACGACAGATCCTGTTAATTTTACACCCATGCACGAAGGAGAAGAGAGAGAGAGAGAGAGAGTAGAGAGGGGGAGAGTAGGGGAGAGAGAGAGAGAGAGAGAAGGGGGAAGAAGAGGTGAAGCGCCAACAAACATTCCCCTCTCCCTCTCCCATCCCCACCAGGGCTCTCCCTCTCTCAACTAACCCCCAATCCAAGTCAAAGAGCCACGTTACATTACAGGCTGCTGTCAAACGAGTCCACTCTCCTCTCTGCCTCGATCGCACCATTTACTTTTATTATTGCAACTAGAAATGGACCTCCAGTGATCCATCAGAGAGCCCCTCTCTCAGAGCAGAGCAGAGAGCCCCTCTCTCAGAGCAGAGCAGAGAGCCCCTCTCTCAGGGAGCAGAGGAGA